TAGAGATCCGCCCCCCCTCCGCCCGCCCCCAGTAGAAACAGGAAGTTACTCAGAGGTCATTAAGAAGCTTGGTGACTCAGCCTCAGGGACAGGAGGAAGACAGGCTCCCTGAAGTCCTGCTCAAGAGTTGGAGCCATTAAAGCAAGCTTCCTGTCAGGCCTTTATGTCCGCATCATTTCGAGAGCTTGTCCACCACCCCACATGCTGTTCCGGCACTCCGTAAACACTTGGCCCTGCCGTGCCTTCTCCCACCCAGAAGGAACAGGGCTTGGGGGGAGGGCAGGTGTGGGCAGTGGACATTAGCTGTTTTCTGCCCTGACCTTCAGTGATACACAGGATGTGGGAATCCAGCAGACTAGCTAATAGGATCCAGTACCCAGGGCTGCTCAGTAAGTGTTTATAGCGGACCCTGTTGCACTCAGGGCTCAAAAGCGGTATTTATTAGCCACTCTTGTTTGCTCTCCGTGGATAAACTTCTCCCATCTCCCTGTTTTCTACATTAGAAAGGAGAGGTGGAGAGCCCGTGATCACTTGGAAATCACATGTCGGGGTCAAAAACTACAAATCACATCTGGTGCCAGCTGTGGTCCCCACGAGGGTGATAGACACTGTCTCAGTGAAACCACCCCTGGACAGTTTCTCTAAGTTTTTGTTTTCAGGGCAGGCTCAAATTATTAAAGGCTGTTCTTACTCCTGGTTCTTGTTGTTAGTCCTTGATGAACCTCTGCAATGTACCGGGGCTTCGCTGTATAGGAAACCAGAGAAATCAGGTCTCTATACGAGGAGAAGGAAGCAGTACTTGTGATCATGTGCAGCAAAACAGGAAAGAAAAGCCACCATATAGGACTAAAAAGATTTGGTTTTATACTTCCTCCTTACAGTCACATTGCTGCTCATTTGTAAAAATAATTCCACTCATAAAGTTACCCAGCCATTAGTGAGTCAGAGCTGTTCCCACTAATTAGGGGGCCCATGTGAAAAGAAGCATAGAGTAATGGGCCAGGTGCCCTTGACTCCTGCTTCTGGTTCCTTCACTGACTTGCTGTGAGGCCTTAGGCAGTGCCCCTTAATCTCTCTGGGCCTCACTTTCCCCAGGAAGAAAATTTCCCACTCGTTCTTCTTGGGAGGATGCTGAAAGATCAAAGAAGTGATGTTTGCAGAGCTTTAAAGATGCCCAGGTGCATTAGAAAGGCCTTGATTTAATAGGTATTAATTAATAAATCCTTTGATTATTGATAAACAGTATGTTAGCTTTTAATTAGCTCCATGGGCCTCAGTGGTCACAGAGGTCATGCAAAATCATAAAGGAATTAGCTGAGCCATAATGATTGTGTGTGTGTCATGTGTCTTTATGTGGATTCACAAAGCACATCGATGGCTTTAACTGGTAGCTGGGTTAGGACAGCTGCAGCAAGCCAGGAAGGCTCTCTGAAATGACACAGATGATCTGGGGCCGCCTCCAAAACCAGGACATCAGAGCCCAGTAGACCCTGTTTACAAAGAGGAGGCGAGGTCGAACATCTGTTTGCTTGCTGCTCGTACTCTGTCAGCTTCAGAGTGGAGGGTTTAGCAGGCTGGACCTCTGAGTTGTGGGGCACAGGGGCCTGGGGACAGAAGAGCCTAGCCCTCCAGGAAGGGACAGTGCATTTACAGCAAGGGGTGAAGGCCCTAGTGGCCAACAGCTGCCTGGATGCACAGGGAGGTCAGGGGACGTGGAAGATGTTTAGCTGCCATCGTACCCTGGCCCCTAGCCCTTCCCATTCCCCCCTGCATGAGGCAAAAAGGATCAGGCTAGTGTTTCCACACGAGCACCTCCTCTTCCGTTCCTGGAGCCCCGTTAATGCCCCAGTGCATTCTGTCCAAAAAAACCTGTCCATTCATTCACCTCGCTCCCACCCTCCCTTCCCAGTGTTTGATTTGCAAACAGACTCCCTGCTTAGAACAGACCTGAAGGAAAGCTCCCGCTCTGCCCCTTGTTAGAAAAGGTCCACAAGCATATAGCATCCCAGAGAGATGCCAGGAGCCAGGCCACCAGGGTCCATGCTGGGAGCAGGACCACAGCTGAACCCGGAATTATTTTTACAAATGGCAGCAATGTGACCATAAGGAGGAAGTATAAAACCAAATCTTTTTAGTCCTATACGGTGGCTTTTCTTTCCTGTTTTGCTGCACATGATCACAAGTACTGTTGCTTATGTTGGGGCCCATTGGCAGAGTGGGCAGGGGTGAGGCTCTCCACAGCACCAGCAGCTGGGGAGGCTCGGCTTGCCTCCTGCTTTACAAGGAGAGGGAGAGAGGAGGTGCCAGGGCACCAAGCCCTCTGAGCATGGGCTCTGGGTTTCTCGTCCCGCTGGGAGGGGGCGTCACACCAAAAGCCCAGGTTTGTCTTCTTTCCTCATGACCGGGAGGAGAAAGCCCCTGGAAGTCCCCCCATCAGATTCCAAGAAGGCCCCTTACCCTAAGTGCTGCCCTGCCCAGGACCGAGTCTGGGGCCCCAGCACCAGCCAGGACCAGAGACAGGGACCAGCAACACAACTTGCGGGGCCGCTTGATCAAAACTTAGTGGGCTGGAGACAGCCAAACATCAAACCAAGCCCTGGGCTCTTTGGAGCGCATATCCTCACACACACATGAAGCCAGTTATGGCCAAGATGGGTGCGGCGCAGGGGCCGAGGGTGCCCCTGAGGGAACAGCCCCCTGCCCTCCACCCCATTTTTCAGAGAGGAACAGGAGGGGGGCAGGGGAGTAATTCTGTACACTTCAGTCCAGGATTTCCAGCATGCGAATAATCAAATTTTATTTTTCTTAAACCCTGATGTCAGCTCTTGAGTTCAGAAATTTAAGGAAAACATTATTTTGGTAATTCTCTGTTACTTGCCAAGATTTGGGAGAAGGGAGAACAGTTAGGAATCCCATTAAGCTGAAGTTCACGGAGCACTTACTTTGTGCTGACACCGTGTGGAGGATCTGTTGCTTCTACTTTGGAGGGGCATTATTGTCACTTTATAGATGGGGAAACTGAGGCTCGAGGAGTACAGTCACTTGCCTAAGGTCAAACAACTTGGATGTCGGGGACCCTGTATTCACACCGATGCAGTCAGACTCCCCGGCGTGTGTGCCTGGCCATTGGGTCCTGTATACTTACTACCTCCCGTTTAGGAGGTCAGTGTCTGGGGTCTGTTAGTTCTGGCGTTTTTGTGTCTGTGGCTACGTTCAGGTGTCTATATGTCTATAAATATCTAACAACAGGGGAGAGGGTTGGTCAGAGAGGAACTTAAGGTATTTCATTGAAGGATTGAGCTTAGCAGAGCATCCGACAGGAGCGTGACACTCAGATCTGTGACTTGAGTAATGGGCTCTACTCAGGGGGCATTTCATCCGTGACCTCACACAAAGCTGTCTGAGCCAAGGTAGGGCTTTGGGTCACTTGCTTGCCTTGAAATGTCTCTCTCTCCCCCACTTGGAACCAACGCTAAAGGAAAAAGAGAAGTACAGTTTTCCTTGGGCTTCAGAGCAAAATGGTCTTTGAACTGTGGACCAAAGAGTCATAGGAGTAGATGTCGTCCTCCCTATTAGGCAGACAAAATAATTGTAACATTGGGCAGAGCAGGTCGTGAAAAGAATGCAGCCATTCTTGAAAGAGATTTTCTTCCAGCCCAGTTTGACAAAGGGGTGGAGTCCTTTGGCCAAGCCCTGACTAGCTGGCGTGTCTGGGTCTGGAAGGGCAGGGTTGATGGGGCACAGGGAAATCACTGTCACATCTTTTAAGGAGACAAAAACTGGGGTAGGTCAGGGAGTGTCAGGAGCCCCAGCTGAGAGGACTCGGGGGCTAGGAGGAGACCCTGAAAAGCATATGCCTCAATGCAGTGCGCAGAGAACGGGAAGACCCCAGAGAGGCATCAGCCGCTCCCAGGATGAAGAGGAACGCAGGATTCCCATTTTACCCTACTTTGGGCAAAATCAACTCAAGTTCTAGGTGTCTAGAAGGGGCTGCGAAATGTATCAAATGTAAGCATAAATAATAGAAATACAGGCATGTGTGCATACAACTTTAACCTCTTTTGACATTTTCCAGAGGGTTCAGTAACTTTCTTCCGATGAAAGGGCCCCCCCTCCCCTGCCCGGAACGGCTGCCCTAATCACTCCCAGACCTGCAGTCCGTTTCCTCGTTAACAGGCTCCCTCCTGCAAGGAGGGGTGCCCACCAGAGCCCGAGGGCATGCATGGGGCAGCGGCAGGAACTCGTCACCCCCCCTTCACAGAACTGCCTCATTTCTACCTCCCCCCTCTCTGATGGCAGCCAGCCCCTGGCGGCAGCATCCCGCCAGCCGGACTCTGGATTTGCTTTGTGCTGCAGAAAGAAGCCGGGGCTTGACAAGCTCATATTGTTATCTCGAGTTGCCTGCCCCGAAATAAGGTTCCAGCAGCCCCCGCCCTTCGCGGGGAAGCTTCCCGAGCCGGATCGCCAGGGCGAGTCCGAGCTCTCCCACATTAGTGGGCAGGAAGTGGAGTCCCGATGGGAGGCTGGGAATTTGACCGCCTTCCCATTTCAGCACTGGAGGGAGGAAGCTCAGTTGAGCGCTGCGCAGACGGCTCCCGCTTCCCTCCTAGAGCGGGCCCTGCTCCCCGCCCGGCAGCCCGCCCTCCTAGAGCCCCCGCTCGCCCCCTCTCTTTGGAGGGAAAAGTCCGCGGAGCTGGGAACCGTCTCGGTCTCGGATAACGCAATAAAGGCAAAGCGGAGGGGACCAACTTGAAAAGAACTTGTTTTGTTCCCGTTAAGAAACCTGCAGGAAAATCCACACCCACATTGGAGAGCGGCGTGCGTGTGTGTGTGTGTGTGTGTGTGTGTGTGTGTCTCCAGCAAGAGGCGGAGGGCGTGCAAACAACTGTGCAGTCTCTGCTTTGATAAGGAAGCGGCTAGCTGGAGAAGTTAGGCAGCAAAGACGACGAGAGCCCTGAGCCAACCACTCCTGAACGTAAACCGCATTGTTTTCTGTCCAGATATTCCAATGGAGACAGTTGGAAAACCTGTATTTCAGAGAGAAGAAATTTTCCGTGGAAGTTCATGACCCCCGCAGGTAAGCTAGAAAAGTCCTTTCCTTCTGGGAGTGCGTGGCCCAGCCGGCATGTTAGTTATATGACTATTTTCATGCTGTCGTTCATTTTGGGGAGCGGGAGGAGGATAGTTGCCCGTGGGGAGCATACGCCAATCTGACGGTGAAGCTTTGTTTTCTCCTAAATATGTTGATAGATGCGGAGGGTTCAAGCGTGCTTTGCATGTGCGTGCACGAGAGGAATTGGCAATTCCGTGATTCTCTCCTCTGGCTACATGTGTTCGGTGTTCGTGTGTGGTGTTGTCTTTGCATGCCGGGGCATTCGAGGGCAGATGGATGGCACCTGGTAACAAACACCACACTAGACTGGGTAGTGGTCCGAGTCCTTTCCGGGAGCTTGTGCTGGAGAAGTCTGAAGGATGGCTTGTCAGAGCTCCTGAGTATGTTTCAGGGAGGACAGTCGGCACCGAAAGGAATCTAGACCTAAAGCTGTTGTGTGAAGTTGTTTGATTCCAGGAGCTGTAATTTTTGGGTGTTGGTGTGGGTGGATGTCGAAAGCAAGAGAGTTCTTTTTCTCCCCATCTCACGTTGTGTCCCAGGGAGCACTAGTGTGAAAACCAGGGCTCTCTAAGTCACATGCCCAACAATAGGGTCCTGGTTTGGAATGCAGCAAGCTCTGCGTGGAAGGTTCTGGAAGGTTCTCAGGCAGCACATCCCGGCTGCTTTTCCTCTCTTTGTCTGCTGGCAGGTCCTGGACTTAGAGGCAGCTCAGAAACAGCAGCAAAACTCCCTGAAAACGGGCCTGACACCTAAGAATAAATTGCTCTCAGTGGGTCCAAAGTGGATTTACAAGAAAGTAGCCCTAGGAAGACAGTGAAAAGGTCAGACCCTATAGAGGAGCCAACGGGACAGTTAGGCACCGTTGATGCCCCAGCCCCCCTCACACATGGCCTCTGAGCAGCAAAACAAGCCTCTCTGCCTCCCAGGGAGCTCTCAGAGACCAGGACGCCGGCCCCCCAGTCAGAGGGCTGAGCTTGGGCAGTGTCCCTGCTCCTGCCGCCCGTGATAACCCAGCAGGGGTGACAGGCCACTCTGCCCCGCCGTGTAATCTGCGTGAGACAGCCACTCCGCAGAGGGGAAGAGCTCAGCCCACGCCCCACAGCCCCCACACGACCAGCAGGTGGAGAACACTGTGGAGACCCAGTGTGCAGTCAGATGAAGGCGGTGACGTTGGCAGAGTAATGACCTGGCCAGCGTTTCTCGGGGTCCTGCGGAGGGTCTCGGTCTGGAGACCCTGCCTCCGCAGAGCAGGAACCCATGTGTGCGGGGCCCGGTGAGGGAGAGCCAGATGCTGAGAATAATACTCCAGCCAAGCTTTTCCAGGTGAAGCGAACCAGACCAGTCTTAGAAGCGTGAGGGGAGGGAAAGCCTGTGTGTGAAGACTGAAATGCATGTTGCCACAGTGAGTCAGATGCAGAAAGGGGCTGCCTGACAGAATGAAAACTGGATCATCTAAGGGGCTGTGCCTCAGGCCCAGAAAGAGGTCCTGCTAGCTTCCTGTTCTACGTGGGGGGAAACTGAGGCACCCAAGAAACAAAGTCACCTGCTCTAGGTTATAAAAAGCTGGCAAGTGGTCCAGGAAGGATTTGAACCCAGGGAGCCTGACTGCATAGCTCACAGGCATCCCGCTACGCTCCACACAACACACCGGGGCCCGAGTGCCAGATGGTGTGGACCATAAATACTGAAGGTGGCCAGAAGCCAGGCTGGTTGGGACAGGTTCCTGAGAAGGAGGGATTCTGAGCTGAACCTCAAAGCATGACTAGGATTTCGAGCTGAAGGTCGGCCCTTGGGTGGGGAATGGAGACTTCGTCAGTTGGGTGTCAGAAAGAAGAGGGAAGGGAGGTGCTAGAGGCAGGTGGAGCGCAGAGTGTGATCACATCTCCCCGAGGAAAACAGCCCTCTACCAGCCTAGAGGCAGGCAGGCGGAGAGGGGGCGGGGCGGGGAGGGAGGCCCGGGGGGTGTCTGCCCTGATGCTTTAAAGACACCTTTTCCGTGTGTGCACTGAGGCAAGCAAAAGGGATTGCTGCAGGTTAGCTCCCTGGCACAGTGCCTTTGCTCTGCCCCGAAACCTCTTCCCTTCCCACAGCTGCAGGGCGCTCCTTCCATTACCCGCCGCGCCCATAGCTGTTGCCGTGTTATTTGGAGCAGGGAAGACCAGTCTGGTTGACTCTACGTTGGGGTGGTCCCAGCCAGGAAAGGGGGTCAGAACCAAAGTGATGGGAGGGCAAGTGAGGAAGAGAATCGTGTCCTGAAGAGGCCACCGGTGGGACACGGCGGGGACTGGGCATCAGCCCAGGCAGAGGGTGCCGTGTGTCCTGGGTCGCCTGGTCCCGGGTGGGACCATAGAAGGTAACCTTGGATCTGTGTTCCTATACATGGACCCCCCAACGTGATAGCCACATGGGTTCTGTGGTTCTCCGGGCTTGGCAAATACTCCGTTTCTAAAGTTTAGGCAAAACAGAGAAGTCAGTGGGGTGGGAAGAGCCTGAAGGGAAAGATGCCGAGAAGAGATAAATGAATAATGGAGCAGGAGAAAACTCCCAGTGTCTGATGTGGTGTTCCTGCAGAACCTCCTAGACCTGGCCAACCTCCTGAACCCTTCCTCCCTCGCCTTCCTTACAAACACAAGCACCTGGCCCCTACCCACTCATGCTTTCACTCAGACACACGCCCAGTTACTTCTCCTTTCTAATTCAGCTTTTCTGGGAGAAAAGATTGCACGTATTCCCAGGAGCAGCCACGGGTGTAGAAGCCAACGTGGGAGTTCTGATCGGTTTCTTTTTACTTCTAGAGATCGGTGGGGTGCTCCTCCTAACTCTCTTGCTGGCTCCCTCCCCATTATTTTCAACCGTGTTCTCTCCCATGAGCTGAAGTTTTCTCCTAACTTAACTAAACAAAGAATTACTGTGCCTAGAATCAGTAGCATTAACGAGCCACCAGATTTGAATTTCTCCCTAAAGGTGGGCCTGAAGAAGACCCCCAAGGAAAACTGATGGGAACAGCTCTAGATTTTCTTCCAGGGAAAATGTGTCATTAAAAAAACAGTTATTCATGAGTCCTGATGACCCAGGTTTCTTCCAGATTAGGTATCTTAAACCTGAGAACACACTCTTCTCTCCTAATGTTCACATCAGATACCCTGGGCCCCACCCCAGTACCTTGCCGTGCATGCACGTGCACACACACTCAGACACACACACGCGTGTGCGTGCAAACACATGTTCTCAGATTTCATTTGCAAAATCATCTGCCTAGCCTATGGAATACACTTCACGGAAAGCACAATCCTATCACTCTGTTCTTCCCCCCAACATCATGGATGTGGTGAATTATGTTGGAACCCACATTTCCCACTTTTCATTGATTTTCATTGATTGTCTCTGTGTACCCCAGATGGATATATGCCCTTGCTGCTCCGTAAATGTGTATGTGTCGGTGGGTAGTGCGGAAGATTGGCTGCACTCCTTTCTGTCGTCCCTGTTTTGATTCCTTATACCCTGCCTGCCGGCTGACTAAATTTGAGATTGATAACCAACTCTTTCAAGGAACACTGAGTTAGAGCAGTGTGAGAAGTCCGGACTCCCTCGGGACATCCCACAGGCTGTGGCCTGTGCTGGTGATTAGAACAGAATTTACTTATCCTTCACCATAGGCAGCATTGCCTGCTTAATAAAGGACATTGTCAAAGGCTTTTCCTGTTTCTGAAGTTTGTCTTGGCCCAGCGCCAGGAGCTGAAGCTCAGAAAGGACCGTCCAGTGACCTAGAATGACCCATCTTATCCCAGACGAGGCAGAGGCTTGGACAAATTCTGAACCCTAAGGAGCCAGTAAATAAAAAGAATAGCATTATTCATGATAGCCAAAATATGGAAACAACCTAAGGGTTCATGGAGGGATGAACAGATAAAGAAATGGTGATGTGTATATGTACAATGGAGTATTATTCAGCCGTAAGAAAGAAGGCGGTCCTGACATTGGCAGCAATGTGGATGAACATGGAGGACATTATGCTAAGTGAAATAAGCCAGATGCAGGGGTGGGGGGAAAAAAAGAACTGCATGATCTCATGAATATGTGGACTCTCAAAAGTCAAATATGTAGAAGCAGAAAGTAGAAAGGTGGTTACCTGGGCCAGGGAAGAGAGGAAATGGGGGGATGTTGGTCAGAGGTACAAAGTTGCAGTTACATAGAACAATAAGCCTATGGATCCAAGGTACAGTGTGAGGGCGATGTTGTACTGAATAGTGGGAATGAACTAGGAGAGTAGATCTCAGGGGCTCTCATGACAGATATGTGAAGATATGATCTCTGTTCATTAGCTTGACCGTAATAATCATTTCACTATATATATATCAAATCCTGTTGCACACCTGAAATTTATATAATTTCTTCAACTTAAATTCAAGCTACCATTGAGTGCAGCACTGGTTTCAGGAGTAGAATCCAGTGATTCATCATGCACGTGCAACACCCAGGGCTCATCCCAAGTGCCCTCCTTAAGGCCCATCACCCATTTAGCCCACCCCCCACCCACCTCCCCTCCAGCAACCCTCAGCTTGTTCTCTATTTTAAGAGTCTCTTATGGTTTGCCTCCCTCTCTGATTTCATCTTATTTTTCCTTCCCTTCCCCATGTTCATCTTTTTTGTTTCTTAAATTCCACATGTGAGTGAAATCATATATTTGTCTTTCCCTGACTTACTTCACTTAGCATAATACACTCTCGTTCCATCCACATTGTTGCAAATGGCAAGATTTCATTTTTTTTGATCACCAGGTAATACTCCATTGTCTAAGGAGACAAGGGAAACAAAAGCAAAAATGAACTATTGGGACCTCATCAAAATAAAAAGCTTCTGCACAGTGAAGGAAATAACAAAAGTAAAAGGCAACCGAGGGAATGGGAGAAGATATTTGCAAATAACATGTCAGACAAAGGGTTAGTTTCCGAAATATATAAAGAAATATAAACAAATAATCCAATTAAGAAATGGACAGAAGGGGCGCCTGGGTGACTCAGTCATTAAGCGTCTGCCTTCGGCTCAGGTCATGATCCCAGGGTCCTGGGATCGAGTCCCACATCGGGCTTCCCGCTCTGCAGGAAGCCTGCTTCTCCCTCTCCCACTCCCCCTGCTTGTGTTCCTGCTCTCGCTATGTCTCTCTCTGTTAAATAAATAAAATCTTTAAAAAAAAAGAAATGGGCGGAAGACATGAATAGACACTTTTCCAAAGCAGACATCCAGATGGCCAACAGACACATGAAAAATGCTCAACATCACTCATCATCAGGGAAATCCAAATCAAAACCTCAATGAGATATCACCTCACACCAATCAGAATGGCTAAAATTAACAACTCAGGAAACATAGGTGTTGGCAAGGTTGTGGAGAAAGGGGAACCCTCATGCACTGGTGCAAGCTGGTGCAGCTACTCTGGAAAACAGTGTGGAGGTTCCTCAAAAAGTTAAAAATAGAGCTACTCTATGACCCAGCAATTGCACTACTGGGTATTTATCCAAAGGGCACAAAAATGCTGATTTGAGGGGCCCATGGACCCCCAATGTTTACAGCAGCAGTGTCCACAACAGCCAAGTTGTGGAAAGAGCCCCAAAGTCCATTGATGAATGGTTAAAGAAAATATATACGATTTTTATTAAACAATTAAAAAGGTGGCCTTTGCTAGCTAGTTTCCCTAAGTGTGTGTGTGTGTGTGTGTGTGTGCACTCATCTGTCCCATTTATGCAAGGGCTTTTAAATCCCATGGGGATCTCAGTAAAAGCTGTCAACCAGTCACTGGAGTCCCGCATCATCAACATGGTTGAACCTTGTGATTCTTGCCATCCCAGGGCTTCAGTGACAAGGAGGACATTTGGACACAGCGGCATTGCAGTGCATACGTGGTATGCATGTCCGGCTTTGATCAAGTCCATTTGGGCTATGGCCATTAGCCAACACCAGTTCTATCTGGACAGAAAGCAGAGTAAGGTAAGTCCTTCTCGGGCTGGGAGGGACTCCACAATGACCGGCCCTTTGACCACACCGCAGGCTTACCTAAGGGCACACGAGGGCCTGTGTCTCCTAGTTGAGGGATTGGGAATTGGGTGGGGGGGGGCGACCCCGTGTCCCTTGCCCCGAGATGTGCACAGGTATGAAAGAATTATGGGAGGGAGGAAGGAGACGGGCTCTTCCAAAGGGCATGTTCCACGCAGCTTGGTTAAGGGGCTCGGGCCCAACCACGGTTGCAGCCTCTCAAACCGTTTACTATAGCCAGGTAGGGCCCTTTTGAGGAATTCAGAGCATGCTTCTGAACCTCAGGAACCTCTCCCTGGAACAAGCCGTCAAGCCCTGTATGGTGTTTAAACAGTGGCATATTGTTTGCTTTTTGAGAGAGAAAAAAAAAAAAAACAACCGTTTGCAATTAATAGACACCATCTAACTGTTTAGGATAATTGCTGTGAAAGTGCTTCAGGCCTTTCCAACTGCCACCTCCATTTTTTTTTTTAAAGTCAGAACTGGAAACATTAAAAAAAAAAAAAAAGAAGAAGTAGCAGCACCCAACACTGTTTCCCTAAGGTAGGCCTGGAGCCTCGGGCCTTGGTAAACAATCATCCTCCAAGGGAGATTTGACCCAGCCCCAATGCAGACACGCAGGTGCATTTTCTGGCGGGTGGGAGAATGACGTCTCCTTGGTTCACACACAGCTTATATCAACACACGGCCCCCTCTTCCTCCAGCCCGTCTTCTGTGCTGCCTTGCATCCCCCCCCACAAGCCATCAGGGTGGGTCTTGCACCTTTCCCAGGATCCTGCAGGCTTGGGGAGGAGGGGCTGCAGAGCTATAGAAGGAGCTGGGCGTTGGACCCTGGGAGGTTTTGTCCCATCATGTGGGTTCTCGGGAGGCGAGGAGGTGGCCGGACCCTAGGCTTACTGGACCCAAGATTCATCAGATTGGTGCCCTCTTGGATCCTTACAGCTTCTTCTTCTGCCTTATTTTCCGTCTGGATGGGGTTGCTCTTTCCCTGGCTTGGGAAGGGGAGTGGAAGGAGTAACCTGGGATCTAGCGGGAGGAAGGAGAAAGATATTACGAAAATAGGAGAAAAGGAAACCATCTCTCAACTCATAATTCAGTTTCAAATCCGAGCCCTTCCTGGGTAGCTGTCACTTTCTTCTCTGTAACACGTTTTTCTCCTCTGCTAAGTCTTCTTCCTGACCCCTTTTTTGGTCATTTTCTGGGGTGAATGGGCACAGAGTGGAGGGGTATTTTTTGTTGTTGTTAGGCATAGTGGGAGCATTCCACAGCTTTCCTGGTGATGATGGACATTGGCACAGGGATATGAAGCCCGATTAGATCAAAAGAAACAGGGCCAAAGCATTTTGCCTCATGCTTTAGATTGAGACAGTAGGTGGGTGTCAGCATTTTGCCCTCGGGTCTCGGGAGTTGGAGGTCCAAACCTTAAAACATCGATTCCATCCTCTGCATTGTTTGGGAATGGGTGGTAAGGGGTGGTAAGGGGTAGAGACCTTGGCAGCCCTCCCGAACCCCACTGCCAATTCCTCTTGTGGGCAGACCCCACACACACTGACAGCACAATTTTGAAAGGAGAAGAGACAAAGTGTATCTCATCCTTAGGTTAGTACATTAGCGGTTTGAGATCTACCCCTCCCATCCCCAACCCCCATGCTCGTTCTTTGCATTGAGGGTCTCTTGGGCAACGCAAGAGGCCATTCAGTAGGGCCTTCTTCCCCGTTCTCAAAGATGGTCTTACTCTGCAGTTGGAGAAGCCTTATTGGCCAGGCTTACAGGTCAGTCCTCTGATGCAACAAGTCAACTTCAAAAAGTAATTATCAAAGATCATTTATTAACAGGAAGTGTCTTTTAAAAGGCCAAAGCAGGTGCCCACAGCAATAGGGAAATTTCAGCCATCCTTCTCAGTGACCCCTGGGGGACGGAAGGAAACACACATCCACCCAGGAGCAGGAGAACTTTCCCCCAGTAAGCTCTGAATGCTCACGGATGCTCCAGAGCCCTTCCATTTCTCATAGGAACCCATTCCTCAACCCACAGTGGCAGGTGAGCAACCAACTTTCCCACATGGAAGTCCAGGGACTCCATTTCCAGTTCCGTGACCCTGGGCAAGTCTTCCGTTGCTCCTGCTTTGCTTCCCTGATTAGAGAACAAGAAAGAAAATACGGAAATTATTGATTGGCCCGATGACACAGTGTGTGTGAAATTGCTTGTGCTATCTTTTATCATCATCATTAATCCAACATACTGTTCCCCGGCCAACACTTGTGTAAAGGTTAAGTTCTCTCAGTTTCCCAGATGAAGTCAGAGATGATAAAATTCCCCTTAGGAATTACGTTACGACACCTTTCGCTTCTGGAATGTCATTCTCTGTACAAGGGTGATGTGATCCGTCTCTGATGGGCAGAATGACCTCTGGTGAGTGACGGCTGAGAGACCTGGGACGGGCTGCAAAATATTTCTAAGTAGCCGGTGTTGGCCAGCATAGGGGCCATCGCCCCACACCCTGCTGCACCAGGCCATGCCATCCATTCCTTTCTCTGAAGGGCTTCGGCAAAGCCCAGGCCTCCCAAGTGATGCTTATCAGCCCCAGAGACAAGTGCAGTCTAGTGGGCTGAGTCAGCAGGAGTGGGTGGCCGAGCAGTCTCAGGCTCTTCCCTGGCGCTCAGGCATTTTCCTCTTTCAGGATCCTTGTGCCAATCCTGTAAGAACAGCGTTTCTCTCTCTCTCTCTCTCTCTCTCTCTCTCTCTCTCTCTCACACACACACACACACACACACACATACATACACACACCAACACCTTCCATCACCAAAGACAACAGAAAGAGCCCCTGTTGGTTGGTTTCCTGTGGCTTATGCAGAATGAGAGTCTGTCCAGGCACCAGTTACAACTGGTAACTTATATTTGCTGACCCCAAGGATCCCAGCAACCTCTGGAGCCCAGAACCCAGAGCTAAGGAATGTCTTGTTGACTTGGGAGGAAAATAGTTGAAAGCTCAAATTGTTGAGAGTAAACATTAGACACCTATCCTCTGAACTCAGAGTGGGGACTTCTCAAGTTGGCTTCCAGTCCAGACATCTTTCCTTCTTAATTGTTTTTTTTTGTTTTTTTTGGTTTTTTTCTGATCTGTCTTCTGTTCTTCATTCCATCTAGATCAGAAGCAGAGTGACAGCATGGTAGGGGACAATGCAACCTTGCTTGTGAGATAACAGTAATAAAACTCAGTAGGGCAAGACCCTCAAAGCACAATGTTCAGAATGTTGGAGGCTCTTTTGTGTTGTCCCAAAGACTCGACTTTTCGAGAAAAGAATCTCCCCCCGTCTGTACTCATTCCTCTTAGCATCGCTCTCTGCACTGGGTCTTTTTGGTCATTGTCCTATTTCCATTTGGAGAGAAGCTAGTAATTTCCTAAAATTTCGACGAATCTAGTCTCCCTTGGGAAGGATAGCTGTTGGTCCCTTTTTCCATATTTTGGTTTTTGCCTCTCAGACCGATGTGTGGCAGGAATGGAGGTGGGGGAGGGACAGACAGGTCTTCCGTGTGATTAATGAGATTCCCCCAAGTACCAGGTTGAGCCATCAGTCTCACCTCATTTAGGAAATTACTTCCAGGCCCTGATTTGGATCCTGTTCCTATTTCAATTCCAGTGGCCTCAACATTATATTATCTAATTTAGTCTTTATCACAACTCTGCCATTTGGGTTTTAAGAGCTCCATTTTACAAGCAGGGATCTGAGTATCAGACAGGTTGAAGGTCATGGCCAGACAGTGGTAAACTGGCCAGAGCCAAGATTCCAGTCCAGATCTTTCTGACTTCAAAGCATGGGTGCCTCCCCACCACGCTGAGTTGTTCTGTGTCTCTATGAGTCATTAAGTAGCTGCAAGCGACAGCTCTTTTTATTCGAGCGTGGGTGTTGGTAAAGAGGAGTGCTGCAGAAAGTAATGGGTGTGCTCCCTCTGCTTGCTCAGAGGGTAAAGCTCAACCAGATGGGCCCTGTGGACATGCGCTGTCCATGCGAAACAAAAGGCACTTCTTGCTTCTGCCCCCCTGCCCCCCACCCCCAGCCAGAGTGCTGCGGGGGGCCCTGGTGGCCAGGGTTATATCCTGAGCAAGGAGGCCCTGACCTGAGGAAGGTGACCTGGATCTGAGTGCAGGGACATTCAGAGTTGAGGTCAGAAAGGAGACATCAGTCAAGGAAGGACCAATGAGATGATTGTTCATACCCAGAGAACAAAACAAGCAAAAACACTCCATATTTCCTCGATCCTAGACTCTCTTATAATAGGAAAGTGCTCAGCTGTTGGAAGACATAGTCCTTCATCAGTGTCTGCATCAGTGTGGAGGCCAGAGGAAGGGCAAGGCCATGGGGGTTCAGAGAGCCTCTGCTGGACAGCACAGGGCACCTGGGCAGAGACTGTCAGTAAGGAAGAGAATGGGCAGCGTCTACCCACCCGCCGTGGCCCCCGTATCCGCCCTCTGCCGGCTTCTCCTGTGTGGGGGACAGACTTGGGTGTGTGGGGGCGGACACACATGAAGGGACTGAAAATCTCAGTTTAGGACATCACCTAGTTCCATCGTTGTATGGGCTATAGCCAATGGCCACGGAAAGAAACCTCAGCAAATGTGTGAGTTCTACTAGCATTTACAGTGGTTTTCATTAAGTTCGTGCTGTGGGTAAAGCCTATTGCCTTAAGCACGATCACAAAAATTGATTCCCTGAAGAAGGGGGGGAAAAAAAAGCAAACATCAAACACACGTGTAGGCAATGCAAACCCATTTTCATCTACTGAGGGCAGTAACTAAAAAAGGTAGCTTTGTGAAAAACAAACACTTTTAGGAATAGGATTGTGATAACAGAGGACTTCTCTAATTAATCCAGCCCGGTGTTACTGTTAGCCAGGGCAGGCCAGTTAATATGCAGGATAAACGGAGTGGAGCGTTAACTATAATCTGAAGACTTTGGAGCATACAGGTATCAAAATAGAAGCAGAGCACGGTGTCGGGCGCTTATTGGTGGGGCCTGAGCATCCGAATGAGCGGTTGTTCAGCGGCTTCTACACATGTAGACATGCTCCTTGTATGTCTAGAGCACCATCACGTGCCAAGCCTCTAAACGTTCCATGGCCACGGGGCTAACACTGGAAGGCATTTAAATCCCCTCAGAATCTATTGGGACTTCATAAATCTGTTTCATATACTTCTGCCATTCACAAAGCTGAAAATTATTTTTTTCCTCCTCCTTTAAACAAAATATAATCACTGCTATTTATTGAGAGCTGTGTACGACGGAATGGCATAGGGGAGCCCTTCACATGCCTTACTTCCTTTGACCCTAACAGAACCGTCAGTGGTAGGTAGTGTTTTTCCCCATTTTATAGCTGGGAATAATGAGGCTCCGTGAGATCAAGGGACTTTCCCCAAACCAGGACTCCGACCAGGTCCGTCTGATGCCAGAGTCCCTGCTCTGGGCACGGCACGGTAGAGCCCGTAGAGTAGCTTGGAAAATGCATCACTCATGTCCGCTCTAGAGCCACACCTCCTGCAGGGAGCTTCGGTGATTAGGGACAGAGCCAGAGAACATAAACCTAAAAGTGCTGCAAGGCAGGACAGTAGTCCATTTGCTAAATCTCAGGACCCCAAGCCCGTGGGTGATAAGCGTTCTCTCTCCGAACACCTCTTTGTAACCCGGCTGTCTTTTCCATTCTAGTCTAAAATCCATGCCGCACGAAGCCTGAGTGAGATCGCCATTGACCTGACCGAGACGGGCACGCTGAAGACCTCCAAGTTGGCCAACATGGGGAGCAAGGGGAAGATCATCAGTGGCAGCAGCGGGAGCCTCCTGTCGTCAGGTAAGCGGGCTTTTCTTGGAGAGCCGCCATGCAGGGAGCCGGGGAAGAGGCTGTGGCTGAGGGTGGCTTCCACCCCACAGTGGCTGCGGGGAAGGTCCAGGAGTGGCAGCCGCTGAGGATGCAGCTTGGCAGGCTCACAAGGAGCTGGCTCCGGTTGTGAGAACAAGGTTTTGAGCCAAATAGGAATCTGAGAAAACCGCCAAAAGTGCCAAGGGGGGGGGGGGGGAGATAAAAAGCAGCAGAACCATGCCGTGTGGGAAGGACTGTTGGCTCCATACCTCTCCTCAGGCACCCTCCAGAGCCTTCTGAATGCTGAGGGCCAACTGTCAGGAATGTCAAGTCCAAGGACGAGGTGGGGTTGGTTCACTTGTGTGTCCTTAAACGAGTATTAAACTAAGGAGGGGCTGAAGGCAGGCTCATGGTGCTGAGCAACACTGCATCCTATTCGCAGGGGAACTCTTCAGGACTTTAAAAGGTACAGAAACTCTTGGCCTTGGGCAAGGAGTCTTGGTCACGGAATGCGCTGTAGCAGTTAAGCGCCTTTTGCAACTGAGTCCAAGGCTCTGATTCCAAGCTTGTTTCTAAGAGCCCCGGGCACGTCATTCTGTCATTGGATGCGGGAGGGGCGGACAAGCTCTGAGGATTCAGAGGAGGCTGAGGTCCAGAATAGGGAGGCCATTTGCTGCAGTGACAGGAAGAGGGGGAGGTTTGAGGAGCGCAGGAAGAGGGAGGGAGGCGATCATTGTTTGGAAATGTTAGAAAGTATAACTAATGCAGGTCACTCCCCAGGCCACACCATCAAAGGCTGATTGTTCCTGGGGACAGTGTACCCTTGCCTCCGAGCCATGAAAGGGAAGCAAAAAGTCTTCGTTTGCCCTCCCCTATCTTCCAGAGTGCTTGCTCTTTCTTCTTCTTCTTCTTCTTCTTTTTTTTTATTTTTAAGATTCCTTCCTGCCCTAGCATTCTAGGAGCTGTCTCTGAATATTACGTCCTTAGCGTCACCTTTGTTCTACCCCTGTTGGAGCATCCCTCCGTCTGTGATGGCCCCGCCCCATGCGGTCCACGGAGGCCCCGCCCCATGCGGTCCACGGAGGCCCCCCCACCTTCACACCCAGCCTTGCCTTCTCTGCTGCCCTTTCTTCCACCCTCTGCTGACGGGGGAGCCAGCACGCCTTCATTCACGGAGGCATCCTGCCTGCCCGGATTTTGCCTCCTGCCTCCATCGGCTTGGTCTAGATTCTTCCACCCCTCACTGCCCTTCCTCTTTGTTGCACCTTCCCTATTATGTTTCTCTCCTAGTTTTTCATTGTTTTTCTTTTCCCCGGTGCTTCCGTGGTTGTAAAAGGATGGAAGTGAAAATATCACCAAAGACAAACAAGTAAGCAAGCATGAGCAGTGGAAAGTGATGTCTTCATAGCAATAAAATCCCGTCAGTCCCCGGGGTCTTTCCTGGAACCACGTCTAGTGACTGCACACAGCAGCAGTGGGAGAGAGGGAGAAGGAGAAGAGCCCACAGAGGGGACAGGCTGAGCGTCTAGGTAGCTCCTAGGCTAGCTGAGTGCGGTCAGAGCCAGGAGAAAACATAGACCGGAAGGACGAGGGGGAGGTTGTGCCCCTTCAGGACCAGGAGGCCCGTTTACTGGGGGGCTAATGGAGCTTCAGCTCAGGGGCCCACACCGGGCAGGCCGTTCAGAGGCCCTGGGAGGGCCCATGTGTTTCTGTGAACATGACACATTTTGCATTCTTTTCTTTTTTACCTTGAAGTGCAGTTGACACACGTTACATGAGTTTTAGGCGTACAACACAGTGATTCATCATCTGTGGTATGCTCTGCTCCCTGCAAGTGTAGGTCCCGTCTGTCACGCTATAACACTAATACCATATCATTGACTATATTTCCTGTGCTGTCTCTTGCATCCCTGGGACTTACTCATTCCATCATTGGGAGCCTGGACCTCCCACTCCCCTCCACCCAATTCGCCCCTCTCTCCAGCCCCCTCCCCTCTGGCGACCACCAGCTCTCTGTATTTTTGGATCTGTTTCTGTTTGTTTGTTTATTCATTTTGATTTTTAGCTTCCACATATAAGCGAAATCATACGGTATTTGTTTTTCGGACTTCTTTCATTTAGCATAGGACCCCCTAAGTCCATCCATGTTGTCATAAATGGCAAGAGCTCATTCTTTTTTGTGGCCGAGTAATACTCCATTGTGTATATATACACCATCTTTATCCATTCACCCATCAGTGGACACTTAAGTTGCTTCCATATCTTGGCTATTGTAATAATTGCATTCTTTTCCTTAAGTGAAGCCGCCAATATAAGCTTCATGCCCCACAAAACTTGGATCTCCCTCTGCCAGGTCACCCTAGAGTTTACCATAAACCCCTCCCTGCCTCAGATTCTTCAGAATGTTTTCATTAGCACAGCGAACCAAATGATCATTATTTCTGAGACCTTGAGGTTTACAGTGAAAGTTGTAGAGAATGTTGCTGTCTTGAAGAGGATGTCCTACAAAGCCCCAGACCCCTGCCTCAAACTACAGCCACTCTCAACCCCTTGCTGAGTGGCAGAGGGCAGAGCCAGCACCGACCCCTGTGTTTGTAGTCTAGACACTTCTAACCCTTGTTAAAGCCCAGGGTCTGAGATTTGAGTCTGGATTTACCTGCCAACAGTTCTCCTCCTTCAGCCACACATGAGCCCAGCTCATCCTTCAGGCTCAGCGAGGTGTCCATCCCTGCTGTGGTTTCATATCCATTTGGGAATCTGGGTACTTTCCCAAGGGAGTTCTGGGTTCTATCCCAAAGGAGAATGGATTCTTGCAGCCCAGGGCTTCTCAAACTTCTAGGCGCATCAGAATCACTTGGAGGGCAGTTCAAACGCCGAGTTGAGCTCCAGCTCCAGGGTGTCTAACTCTCCGGGTCTGGGGATGAGCCTGAGAATTAGCATTTGTAACAAGTTCCTAAGAGATGCTGATGCAGCTGGTCTGGGGACCACACCTTGAGCCACTCTTCCCGCTGAGGAAGAGATAAAAGCCTGAGGTGACAGGGTTGCTCAGTGTCTTCCAGACCTGTGTCTTGGGTTGTCTCCTCTGGCCACTCCTATCTGTCAGCCTCTGGGGCCACCATGCCAGTAACCTAACAGAGCCACGGACCCGGTTGTGCATGGGAACCCCAAACCTCCTGACCTAGAACGGACATCACTCAGTCATCAGCAAGTGAGATCTAGGCATCTTCAAGATTAGAAAGCAGTGCATCTGTGTGACTGCTGCCAGCCTGATAGAACAGAATAATAGAATAACATCAAATAAGGCATCTTTATACCAAGATATTAAAGTGATTTTCAAATGGGTGATAACTTCGCTTCAGGGGCCCCAGGCTGAGCTGTCTGGGAGTTGCTGGAGGCAGCTAAAGACCTTTCCTTCCCCACTTTCAGAGGGGCAACATCCGTGGCCCCTGACCCCCTGGGTTCTTTCCTTGTCCACTCTATGCTGTACCACTGTGCGAGAGGAAAGCCCCAGGAGATGAGAAGCCCAGAAAGTATGAGCCATGCCCCATGACCAAACCAGGTAGCGCCTCAAACCCTGCCCAGTCCTGCCAGCCAGAGCGTGAGGCTAAGGCTGAGGGTCCGTGGGGAGGCCTCCCTCCAGTGACTTAGGAAGACCATGCGGGGAGAGATCCCAAACAGGAAAGAATAGAGGCCATCAGTTAACAAAGGGAATTTCAAGTGTCCACAGATCTGGTCGTCACTCCCCCTGCAGCTGCTGATCGCTGGCTGTCTGTCTTCTGCCCTCACCTGGGGCACGCCCTCTGCAGCCCCACCTGGAAGGGAGGGTTTCCTGTCCCCCACAGTGAGGACGTCTAGCTGGCTTGAATGGCTCCACAGCTGGCTGGTGTCCCACTCCGTTCTTTTTTGTCCTTTGGCGTCCTCTTGCCTGTTTCTTGAGCATTCCTTAGTGATGCACTCCCACAGATGGATGAGGCATTACTCTTCCAGGAAAGCCCTGATTTTAAACACTCTTTTTATTACACTTGCCAGACCCCATGTTCTGCTTTTCATTTAGAAAATACGATGCATCTAATTCCGTATCCTATTTGGTCACATGGTCTCTCTCCTTCACCTACTGCCTTATGTTAAGAAAGAAAGAAAAAAAGAGAGAGCAAGAGAGAAGGAAAGACAAAAAAAGTGTCTAATAAATATTCCTTAAAAATATTTTGAGAAGTGAATTCTCATTTTAAAATCCCTTTTTCAGGGGTGCCTGTGTGGCTCAGTCAGTTGAGCATCTGACTCTTGGACTCAGCTCAGGTCCTGATCTCAGGGTCATGAGTTCGAGCCCTTTGTTGGGCTCAGCTTTGGGCATGAAGCCTACTTAAAAGAAGAAAAAAGAAAATTCTTTTTTCTGCTTATAGGCCAGTGCCTGACATCCAGTAGATACTCCAAACATGATTTAAAAAATGTTTTTTAACATCACATTTCCATGACTTATTTGTAACTGGAAAATAGTACCTTTTGAACCCCTTCACCTATCTCCCCCAACCCCTGTCTCTGGCAGCCACCAATCTGTTCTGTGTATCTATGAGCTTCAGTTTTTTGGGTTTGTGTTTTTTAAGTTCCACATGTAAGTGAGATTATACATACGGTATTTGTTTCTCTCCACCTGACTTACTTCACTTAACACAATGCCCTCAGGGTCCATCTGTGTTGTCCCAAACAGCAAGATTTCATCTTTTTTCATGGCTGAATAATACTCCATTACATGTATATGCTACATCTTTTTCATCCATTCATTGGTGAGGTGTCTCCATACCTTGGCTGTTATAAATAATGCTGCAGTGAACGGAGGGGTACGTGTATCTTTTTGAATTCGTGTTTTCATTCTCTCCGGATGAATACCCAGAAGTGGAATGCTAGATCATATAGCAGTTTTGTTCTTAATTTTTTTGAGGAACCTCCATACTGTTTCTACAGTGGCTGCACCAGTTTGCATTCCCACCAACAGT